CAGCTTAAGAACTTGGAGAAGGACCAACAAAAGGAGCACAACCCTAACAGGAGGAAGGAAATAATAAAACTCAGAGCAGAGATTAACGAGATGGAAACCCAGAAAACAATCCGAAAGATCAATGAAACCAAGAGCTGGTTCTTTGAGAAAATTAACAAAATCGATAAGCCCCTAGCAAAACTCACAAAGAAAGGGAGAGAGAAAACACTAATAAACAGAATCAGAAATGAAAAGGGGGTCATTACAACAGAAACTACAGAAATTCAAAGGATCCTCAGGGAGTACTTTGAAAAGCTTTATGCCACAGAACATCAAAACCTCGAGGAAATGGATAAATTCCTAGACTCCTACAGACTCCCAAGGCTGAACCAAGAAGACCTGGAATACCTGAACAGACCTATCACCATCAAGGAAATTGAAATGGTAATAAAAAGTCTCCCCAAGCACAAAAGCCCTGGCCCGGATGGATTCACCAGTGAATTCTTCCAAATCTTTAAAGAATACTTACTCCCAATCCTCTTTAAGCTTTTCCACGAAATTGAAATATCAAAAACACTTCCAAACAGTTTCTACGAAGCAAATATCACACTGATACCAAAAGCAGAGAGAGATAACACAAAGAAAGAGAACTACAGGCCGATATCCCTGATGAACACAGATGCAAAGATCCTCAACAAACTACTAGCAAATAGAATCCAAATACTCATCAAAAAGATCATACACCATGACCAAGTAGGATTCATCCCAGGGATGCAAGGATGGTTCAACATTCGGAAATCAATCAACATAATCCATCATATCAACAAAAGAAAAGATAAAAAGCATATGATCATATCAATAGACGCAGAGAAAGCATTTGACAAGATCCAGCACCCCTTTATGATGAAAACCCTAGCCAAAATGGGCATAGAGGGGACTTTCCTCAACATAGTTAAAGCCATCTACCACAAGCCTACAGCAAGCATCATCCTCAATGGGGAAAAACTGAGAGCCTTCCCTCTAAGATCAGGGACGAGACAAGGATGCCCACTCTCTCCACTGCTGTTCAATATAGTACTGGAAGTACTTGCAATAGCAATTAGGCAAGAAAAAGACATTAAGGGCATTCAGGTAGGAAAGGAAGAAATAAAGCTCTCACTATTCGCAGATGATATGATACTATACTTAGAGAACCCAATAACCTCCACCAAAAAACTCCTAGAAACAATAGACTTGTATAGTAAAGTTGCAGGTTATAAAATCAATACACAAAAGTCCATGGCTTTCCTATACGCAAACAGTGAGAGAGAGGAAAGCTACATGAAAAAATCAAGCCCGTTCACAATTGTGCCCCAGAAAATCAAGTACCTAGGAATCAGCTTAACTAAGGAAGTAAAGGACCTGTACAAAGAAAACTACAAAACGCTACTTCAGGAAATAAAAGAGGACATGAGGAAATGGAAAGAGATCCCCTGCTCATGGGTCGGAAGACTTAACATTGTCAAAATGGCAATACTACCGAAAGCACTGTACAAATTCAGTGCAATCCCTATAAGGATACCCATGACATTCTTCAAAGAAATGGAGAAAACACTCCTGAAATTTATATGGAATAATAAACCCCCACGAATAGCTAAAGCAATTCTTGGGAAAAAGAAAATGGGAGGAATCAACCTCCCGAACTTCAAACTTTACTACAAAGCGGTAATAATCAAAACAGCATGGTACTGGAACAAAGGCAGAACTGCAGACCAATGGAACAGAGTTGAATACACTGACATCACCCCCCAATCATATGATCATCTAATCTTTGATAAAGGTGCAAGAAATGTGAAGTGGAGTAAGGAAAGCCTCTTTAACAAATTGTGCTGGCATCACTGGACGGCTACATGCAAAAAAATGGGCTCAGAACTCTGCCTAACAACGTGTACAAAAGTAAGATCAAAATGGATTAAAGACCTCAACATCAGACCAGAAACCATAAGATACATTGAAGACAAAGTTGGCAAAACCCTCCATGACATTGAGGCTAATGGTATGTTCAAAGATGACACGCCACTGGCTGAGCAAGTGAAAACAGAGATAGATAAATGGGACTATCTTAAACTAAGAAGCTTCTGTACCTCCAAAGAAACAGTGACCAAAATACAAAGACAGCCTACAGAATGGGAAAGAATATTCGCCGAATACACATCTGACAAGGGGTTGATTTCAAGGATATACAAAATACTGGTTGAACTCCACAAGAAGAAAACATCCAACCCCATCCAAAAATGGGGCAATGAAATGAACAGAAACTTTCTCAAAGAAGAAATCCGAATGGCAAAAAAGCACATGAGAAAATGCTCTACATCATTAATCATCAGGGAGATGCAGATCAAAACCACAATGAGATACCATCTCACACCTCAGAGACTGGCCCACATTCAAAAGAACAAAAGCAACCGTTGCTAGCGCGGATGTGGCGAGAAAGGGACACTCCTTCACTGTTGGTGGGAATGTCCACTGGTTCAGCCCTTCTGGAAAACAGTATGGACGTTCCTCAAAAAATTAGAAATTGAGCTCCCATTTGACCCAGCGATACCACTCCTGGGAATATATCCCAGAGAGGCAAAAACGTGTAGCCGAAGTGACATCTGCACTTGTTTGTTCATTGCAGCACTCTTTACAGTAGCCAGAAACTGGAAGAGACCTGAGTGCCCAAGAACAGATGACTGGTTAAAGAAACTTTGGTACATCTACACAATGGAGTACTATGTGGCTCTTAGAAAAGATGAAGTCATGAACTTTACATACAAGTGGTACAATATGGAAAGTATCATGCTAAGCGAAATGAGTCAGAAAGAGAGGGATAGACATAGAAAGATAGCATTCATCTGGGGGATATAAAATAATAAAATATGAGATTAATACCCAAGAATAGCTGAGAGCAACACCAGGAGAATTACTCCATAACTTAGAGGCCAGCTGGGTATTCTAGGGGAAAGGACAATTCAGATAGAAAGGGGAACACCAAGTGGAGGGTGTTTGGAGGATCCTCCCAGGAGGGGAGATGCAGGTTGAAAGTAGACTGGACTGAACATGTTCGCCACTCAATGCCTCTTTGGCTGATCACAGCGCCCAGGAGGAGAGAGAGAACAGGGGGGAATGCCCTGCCATAGTGGCAGGGGGGGATGGGGGGATGGGAGGATGGAGGGGGGAGGGATATTATCCTGGTGGTGGAAAATGGGCACTGGTGGAGGGATGGGTATTTGATCGTGGTATGACCGAGATCCAAGCACAAAATTGTAAATCTACAACTGTACCTCATGTTGCTTCACTAATAAAAAAGAAAAAAAAAAAAAGAAAATGAAAAGTAGTGCAACAAGAAAAAAAAAATAAAAAAAAAATAAAAAAATAAAAAAAAAAATGTCACACCACTGGCCAAGCAAGTGAAAACAGAGATAGACAAATGGGACTATCTTAAACTAAGAAGCTTCTGCACCTCAAAAGAAACAGTGACCAAAATACAGTGTACAAAATGGAATGGATAAGGGATTGATATCAAGAATATACAAAGTACTGGTTGAACTCCACAAGAAGAAAACATCCAACCCCATCAAAAAATGAGGAGATGAAATGAATAGAAACTTTCACAAAGAAGTAATCTGAATGACTAAAAGGCACATGAGAAAATGCTCCACATCATTAATCATCAGGGAGATGCAGATCAAAACCACAATGAATTATCATTTCACACCACAGAGACTGGCTCATATCCACAAGAACAAAAGCAACCCGTGCTGACACGGATGTGGCGAGAAAGGGACACTCCTTCACAGTTGGTGGAAATGCCGACTGGTTCAGCCGTTTTGGAAAACACTATGGACGATTCTCAAAAGATTAGAAATTGAGCTCCCATTCGATCCAGCAATACCATTCCTGGGAATATATCCCAGAGAGGCAAAAAAGTATAGTCACGGAGGTGGTGTAGTTGCCGACCAGACATTGCAGTGACATCTGCAATTGTCTGTTCATTGCAGCACTCTTTACAATAGCCAGAATCTGGAAAAAACCTGAGTGCCCGAGAACAGATGACTGGTTAAAGAAACTTTGGTACATTTGCACAATGAAGTACTATGTAGCTGTTAGAAAAGATGAAGTCACAAAATTTACATACAAGTGTTACTACATGGAAAGTATCATGTTAAGGGAAATGACTTAGAAAGAAAGGGATAGACATAGAAAGATTGCATTCATCTGGGGAACATAAAGTAACAAAATAGGAGACTAACACCCAAGAATGGCCATTTTACTGCAAGGCTTGGAGTCCAACCGCACATACTAGGGGAAAAGGGAGCTCAGATAAAGAAGGGAACACCAAATAAAGATTTTGGGAGGATCCTCCCAGGATGGGAGAAGCATGTGGAAAGTAGACTATAGACTAAACATGATTGTCACCCATCGCCTCTTTTGCAAACCACAACATCCAATAAGAGAAAGAGAACAAAAGGGAATGCCCTGCCACAGAGGCAGGGTGGGATGGGGGGATGGGCGGTGGGAGGGATACCGGGATCTGAGGTGGTGGGAAATGGGCACTGGTGGAGGGATTGGTATTTTATCATTGTATAATTGAAACCCAAGCACAAAAATGTGTAAGTCTGCAACTGTACCTCATGATGTCTCACTATTAAAAATTTTTTAATAAAAAAAATGTAAGTCTTGCAGAGAGCATCAAGCCTCATGACTCGACAATCATAGGTGGTTGTTATATCATGAAGAGCGACAATAAACACAGATGAACAAAAAATTTGATGGGTTCTAATGACTGATGGACTGCAAAAAGATGAAATTAAAAAAAACGATAAAAATCATTTGGATTTAAATGTGACTCATAAATTTTCTCTGGAAGAAGCAGAATCACCCAGAGTAAGCCAATTATGGAATGTGGCTGTACCTTTGTAATATCAGTTATGATCGAAATTCTCCAAAATATCAGTTGGGATGTAAATGGGTTGGGATGCAAAACAGAAGTGCATTACCTCTGCTGAAGGATGCCATGCTCCTGTGTTACTTTGCACTAACAGGCACATTTAGGAACAAGCTAAGCAAATTCATTCCAAAGACAGCACACAACTGATGAATACATTTTTTAAAAATCCACTTTGTTTAACATGATAGAAAATGGTGACTTGGATGGCCCAACATACATTTCACCAAATATTCAAGTGTTCTCAAGAAGAGGAGATGCAAGATGTATTTAAGAATAGCCTCAAAAGTAACAGTTAATGAAAACTGCATCATTATTTCAATACCAAAGAAACAACTTTTAAAAAATTTGTGGCAAGTTCAGTGACTGAGTTCTCAATTCAGGAAAGTGTGTAAACAGAGATTTGGAGAACTGTACTTGTCAGGCACAACAGTATAACAAAAAATCATACCAAAGCTTCTTTTATCCTAAGATATTGGAATTCTAGGAGTCTAATGAGTCTAGATATAAGACTGAAGACAAACATATACAAATTGCCTCTACCACCCCAAAATTTTCTGGAAAGCAAAATGTTAAGTGATACATTTATTCTGAACATTATCTTGCATACTCCATGTTCTTATGAGCCACCAACATCACATGATATGGGAAGACAAACTTAGAGATTTCTTAAAATCAAACTGCAAAACCCTCACATCAGAGTCAGTCAACTACACGCATGCACTCAGCTTGATCACTGCACTGCAACCCCTGGCAGGAAACATTCTCTAAAATCATGAGTCCAAGAAAAGTTTTGTCTTTGTGCTTCTGTGAGTTTGCTTTCTATGGCTTGATTGTACGTGTAACTGAATATACAAGATATGATCACTGCTTGGGAGCACCTTTTGTAATGGGAATAACCTCTTGCTTCGCAAAATTCTTCACGTGTACCAGAAAATAGAGGAACATTTAAATGTTATGGTTAAGAGATGGTCCAAATTTCTTTTCTTTCAACACACCAAGAATTTCAACACATACAAAAATTCAAAAGAATACAAATAGAAAATGCTACAGAATTCCTTTCTCATAAAGATATCTTTGGAAGTCAAGTATTTTCAAGCAGTGAATAGTAATGGGAGGTAAAGAAACCAGTGACTGTAGGAATCAGGTAACCAATTCAGAAATTCCCAGTTTGAAAATCACAACTAAAGAAATCCAGAATGCACTGGTTTGGCAGCTCTTGAATCTATTTCCCAGGATGGTTAGCATCACTTTGGTTAGAATTAACCTCCTAGGTCACTGGAACTGGAAGTTGGTCAATATGAGTCAACATCTGTTTGTTATTTTGTATGTGTAGCAAAAATATTGCCTTAGCCAATTAAATTTTGCTTCAAAAAGTGAACATTGCCTCAACATAATTTCCCCTTTTCTCCTTTAAAAAAATCACAGAACTATTACAGTTAAAATATTACATTGAGCCAGTAGATGCCGTATCTCGTGGTCAAAACAGGTCAATATTATGTAATGAATGTTGTGGTTAGGGGAAACTCGTGAATAGCTTCTAATAATTCTTAGCCATTTGTACATGGAACGGGGTTTAGGCTAAGACTGGTTTTAATTATACTTCATATAAAGCAGAGAAAACTATTTCCCAGATGTCCAACTTCACGTTATTCTAAAATTGTGGGGTAAATTACAGCTGAACTTCAAAGTGGTCTGTTGCAATTACCTCTCAGACATTTTCAATGCATGATGATAATAATAAAAAGAAACAGATATGTATTGATGACTATCAACAGCAATCTTTGGAATGATGTTGGAAGTTTAGGATTTTGAAGTATATTTTGAACCGTCATCTGCTATAGAAATTAGATTAATTAGTTTAGGGCATCTACCAAGTTTCACTGATGATGCTTTCCACTATTTCTTTTTTCTTTCTTTTTTGCCTTCTTTAGACACCTACACTGAATATCTATTTTCTAACTCACTGCTCTAAGAAATAAACCTTTGAGTAAAACTGGCAATATATAAAAGTATTCAACTTAAGCATGCTTTTCATGTGTGAACTGATTGGAAAGCTGGTAAAGAAGTATTTACCAACAATCTATTATGCACAACACATTACCTAAGTAGCTGGCTATTGAATAATTTCATAACTAATCATTCTTTTTCGCCTCAAAATTTTTTTCTAGTTTAAATGAACAAGCATCTGTTGATTGCACATTTTTTACAACAAACTTCAATTGCATAAAAATGGCAAAGTTGTCATTGCCTTTTGCAAACACCAAGATAAAAAAATAAAACCCTTTTAGAAAGGAGCTATTGATTTGTTTTTATTTTACTTGCCTGTATGATGGAAAGCCTGGTGTCCAACAAATCTACTCAAAATTAATTAATGCACATCAGCAGCATTGTCTTTGTTCACATCATTGGGAAACCAGTAGTAAATTGAGGGGTCATTTTGCATCTCACCGGGCAGAAGCAGGCTGCCTCTTTTCATTAGTCCTGCTCTGGAGCATAACACCCTTGCACACCCAGCCTTCTCCCACCTCCCAGACAGTTCAAGCCTTTGGAGAACTGTAGCCATCACATCAATAACTAAACCACATGTTGATGTAGCATCCTCTGTTTTGACATGGTTGTTTCACACCAATCTTTTCTCTCACAGCCTGTCTTGACATTGACTGATGAGCCTCATGAAATGTTCTCTGGGATTACTTGATTCAAATTCATTTTTACTATCTTGGAGACAGCCTACAAACAAAGGCATGATGGTATACAATAAATATGAAGCAGAGAAACACCACTGCTGGTTGCTCCCAATGGCAAACCACCCAAAAAGGAATTTTGCAAAGCACAGATCAGTCACTTTCAAATGGAGAAGGAGCTTAAAGGATGCATTGCTCTACACAAAAGATGTCCAGTTAAGCAAGGGTCACCACCTCTCCATACATCACTTCCATGGAATGCCAGTCCCCATCACTGGTGTTGTGGGCAATGTGCAGAATAATCTTTGACTTATTATTAACTTGAACTGATAAGCAAATATTGCAGTTTGCCTATCCTTATGTATATGTCCCTATTACCTTGGAAAAGTAAATGTGTCATTGTCTGAATGGTCTGAAACCTGAGCCTTCTGTTTGTCACATAACCATTTGTAATTCAGAGAAAGCCATTACCCTTGAAAAAAATTGCGGTGGAAATTTCACAGAGGCATAGTGTAGTCAGATGAACACAGGCAGTTGAATCCATGTTGGCCATTTTAATAGTGAGGAATGCAGATTCAATTATTTAGACACTGGTTGTGAGAACATCCCAGGAGAATTTCAGAATAGTCTCTCCATGCTAAGGGAACTAGGTTGTGAGATTCAGCTTAAGAGGTAAGTAACCGAGGAACAAAGAAAGGGAACAGGCAAAGTACAAGAAAAGAGAAAAGCAGATCCTTAGATTGACCACAAAACTGAAGCTTCCAAAACAGGGAAAACAACAATAACAAAAAAGTTATGATACAAATGGTTCTGATGATGATACAGATTTCTTAGGATTTTAAACTACTTGCAGAAGTGTGACTTATTTCCCATTGTCACATTCTTCCTTCGGTTCAAGTGTGTGAGGACTTAGCTATGACTCATTTCTCCTCAAGCTGTATCAATGGAGTTTAGTAAAAGATCCATTTGTACTGCTTTCTAAGCTGTCATTAACTTCTTAACTGCCTCCTTACTTAATACAAGCTACACTTGACTATACAAGGTAAACTAGTAAAAATTAAGAATTGACATTATTTTCATGAAAATTGAATTTTAGGGACTCTATATAGAGACTGGAATATTCTTTTGTAATTTTTACTGTGGAAAATTACAGCTTGACTTTATCTTTCTTCATACAAAAGAAGGGTGGGTTTATTATTATTTTTCTGTTTTACTTTTGAATTCTAGTTAAATTCATGAAACTTCAAATCTACTGAAGGCATGGAATATAAAAGAAAGAAAGTTAAATCTTAGGAATTTTCATTGATTTGCTGATATTGTGACAAGAATTATTTTTATTGTGATCTTGGTTTTAAATTTCACTCCTTAGTATCCACAGAATTATTAATAACAGAATTGTAAATCACAGAACATCAAAAAATTTTAAATAACTGAAAAATAAAGTTAAAAGAGTAAATATACTCTATTTTAATATAATTAAATTTTGTTTATAGGACTATTTAAATAGGAATAATATTTGGGATATACTTAGAATAAGAGATGCTTGACTTTTTAAATCTTTTTATTTTCTTGATACTGTTTTCTGAGTGTCAGGGGATCTGAGGTCTCCTAGTGATTTTACTTTGATAATGTAAGTACCACAGAATAGCATGAGCTTGGTGTTTAATTTCTCACCACCAGAGTAATTTATTTAGGTTAAGGCCAGTTCTGTTGGATGACTTGGAAAAGATAAAAGGTGGGATAAATTAGTAAACTTGGACATGAATATTTTCTTTGTGACTCAAAGCATCCCAGTTGATAATGTTCACTGTATGACTGTATCACTGTCATCCTGTTGTTCATCGATTTGCTCAAGCAGGTGCCAGTAACGTCTCCATTAGTGTCAGTCCTGAGATTTTAGCAGCCTCTCCTCACTCATCCTTCGCAACAGTGCCATATTAGAGATTTTTTTCAGGGGAATGAGACCTATTATTGTTACTGTTTTTGGCATATTGAATACACCACGGGGTGCTTGCCAGGCTCTGCCATGAGGGCAAGATACCTTCGGTAGCCTGCTGGACTCTCCGAGAGGGATTGATAATGTTACAGTCACCAATATTTCAAAGAAGTTTTACAGTTAAATCCTACACACTAAGAGGAATTTTATCAGGAAAGTGTTACTTCATATATTTTATCTTTATTTTTTAAATTTAAACAAATCAAAGGAAATATATGAAAACTTGAAAGAACATTATAACGTGTTCTAACAAAAACAATGGATTGTGTATTGTGGGAAGAATATGTATCATGGTAAATAGCCATTGACAATATAAATAGCACAACCTCAATCAACCAAAATAGAAATTAAAAAAATTATAATGGACTGTGTACCTTGAAAGAATATTAGCAATAGATGTATACTCAGCACCATGGACAGATCAAAATAACCTGTTGCCAAACGAAAAAGGAATAAGACAAGTATATACATCAATAAAAAATTATATACATATATGAAAATTGAAGTCTTTGTATTTAATAAATTGAAGAGTTTCCAACATAAGGGAGAAGAAATGAATGGAGGTCAGAGAGAAGAATATAATAAAAATTAAGAATAGAATAGAATAGAACATAGAACAGAATATAACAAAATAGAAAACATATATGCTAGGGTTATTGTGAAAGCTAAAGAAAGGGGCTCAACATGAGCCAAGAATGATTAACTTTTAATTACTTGAGATTAAGCAACCATAAAATTACACAGAGAAGATATAGCTTATTAGTTGAAGACATACAGATTTCACCTTATAAAATGATAACAACCTATACTAATTATTATTAACATTTATTGGATGTATTATATTTTATGGTTTTCTCTCATATATATTATCACAATTTATCTTTGAACTATGGGTACATAGTGTTGTGGTTTTCAAGGTTTTATCTGGGCCTGGGATTGTTAATTGTGTATGAGAGCATCTGAGGCAAAGGAAATAATATATCCTCTTTAATTCAAGATTTGGCTTCAAAATATCTTTATTAAGTTTTGAGTACTTTAAGGAAAGTACTTTACTTTTTAGCAATGAGCTAAATGCTGCAGTAAGTTAATAAAATGTCAAAATGAACTTTAAATCATGTCTTTAGAGAAATTCTTGTTCAAGAATGTTTTGTACTAGGGTTGGAGTGATAGTACAACAACAACAAAGAGGGCATTTGCCTTCACACAACTAACCCAGTTTCAATCTTGACCTCCCATATGGTCCCTGTCTAATAATCTCTGAGCGGCCAGGGGAGGCCCTGGCAGCTCTCACCCTGGCCACCTGGGTTCAGGGCCCCCCAGGGCTGCTCGCCCAGCCGGGGTGACCCAGGGCATTGGACAGATGGTAGACGAAACGAGGGCCAAGCCATTTGATTGATCAGATGCCATTTATTCCATCTCCCATCTCATGCACTCTTCCTTCCTAGCCCCTCATTCCTGGGTCCCATCTCTCTGGATTCTGCCTCCTCCCCACTAGTCTCTCTACTCCTACTTGTCTCTCTCCCCCTTCCCTCTGGGCACATGCTACACCCAGTCTGGTAGCAAAGTCAACACAAGAAAGCCATTCCTAAGGGCCATCCAGGTTCAAAGGAAACACCACCTGAGGTATTCCAAAGACCTTCCTGACTCCCTTGGGCAAAATACTTCTTAAGGTGTTTGTCCCTTTTCCTCAGTCCCTTTTCCTCACTCTATCAACATCTTAATACTAGTTATTTTTGTATGGACACAATAACAGATTCATTGAGACTTGTAGGGCAGCTCTCCTGGGAACATCTGACCACAGACTCAGACTACAGTGCTCAGGCCAGATTAATCATTCCTTACCCTAGCTATCCGTTGTCTATGCCAAATAGACCAAATTGATATGCCAAATCCAGTAATAAATGGATCTCATTCCCCTGACCCTGATTACGGCAGAGTCGAGAAGGATGTGGAAGGAGAGGCTGATAAAACCCCAAGGCAGAAATAGGCTGTCAAAACGAAGAAAGACAAAGATGATTGTCTGTACTTTTAATGCTTGTACGCTGGCATCTGCTGCATCCATTGAAGACCTTATGGTACAAGCGCGAAAGATCAAGTACGACATCATTGGTTTGACCGAAACGAGAAGACATCAATCACATCACGCTGTTTTCGACAATGGAGAAGAACTGTTCCTTGAAACATGTGATAAAAGAGGCGTCGGTGGTGTCGGTATCCTTTTCAACACAAACTTAGCCACGAGCATTGATTCATTTGAATGCCTAACAACCCGAATCGGACGATTACACTTGAATAGATGTGGCTCACTGCCGGCAGTTTCTATCTTTGTTGTCTATGCACCAACATCCAGTTATGGTGAAAGAGAAACTGAGAAGTTCTACATGGAGCTGGAGAGTTCTATAAAGAAGATCACACCTTCTACAAGATCATTGTCGGTGATTTTAATGCCAAGATAGGACCAACAAGATCAGCCGATGAACTCCACATCGGGACCCATGGCCTAGAATGGAATGAACAGGGTGACAGACTGTCTGAGTTCATCATGTCAACCAAGACCTTCCATGGTAACTCACAGTTCCAAAAGGCTGAATCTAAACGTTGGACATGGGAGTCTCCCGATGGACGTTCCACAATGAAATAGACCACATCATATTCAATCGGCGGTTTTGCCTAACCGATGTTTCTGTTGTCCCAAAATTCCAAACGGGATCAGACCACCATCTCCTTTGTGCAAAATTCTACCTCACAGAACGAGGAGAAAAAAATGCAAGGTTTAAGAAGAGGACTCCCAGAACGACCACCAACTGGGAGCTCTTTGGCTCTGTTGTGGCAACATGGGAAGATGCCGTCATTGACAACATTGATGAGGAATATGATCGAATGATTCAGCACCTCCATGATTGTGCGAGAAATACCAAGAGAGAGATAACCACAAAAACCCGCCTTTCTTTGAACACTCTTGAACTTATTTGCCAACGTGGCTTGGCACATGCCTCAGGCAACCACAAGAGAACATCCGAGCAGGCAAAACAATTCAGAGAAGCCATCAAGGATGACCTCAAAAACAGGAGAGCAGCAGTGCTGGTATATGTGGCAGAAGCTGGGAAAAGCATTCGTAATGCCCGCCTGTCCTTCACCAACTACAAGACCAAGATGACTGCCCTCCGACATCATGATGGATCTATCACATCTTCCAGAAGGGCAATGGAGAAGATTATTCACGACTTCTACTCAGATCTCTTTAATAGCCACGTCCACTTGCCCACATAACACATTCCACATGATGGATATGTTGTTCCCAATGTTCTCCCTTCCGAAATCCAACATGCCATCTCGTCGGTAAAGAAACAAAGAGCACCTGGCCCAGACAAGATCAGACCTGAACACCTGAAGAACTTACCATCAGTACTCATCAATACACTGGCTTGGCTCTTCACACGCTACCTGTCTGAATGCAAGGTTCACTGGGACGGAAGTGGTCATGGAAGCCCTAGTCCATCAGGGCGTACAAACTCAATACATCAGGATACTTCGTGAGCTCTATTGCGGATTCACTACCAGGATCTCACCATTCTACAAAGAAGTAATCATCCATGTCAAGAGAGGGGTTCGGCAGGGTGAACGACTTTGACCGTGAATGTGGAAAGGTCGGACTACAACTGAATCTT